GATGTTGACAGAGAAAATTTTATCGGGAAAAGTGATACAGGGGTAGCACTTATTCACGCCAGAATGTAGATTATAGAGTTCTGTGGGTGTTTGTCAAGACAACTTGGTGTGTTTGTGTGGAGCATAAGAGAGCTCTTGGGTGTTAGTAGATGTCTATAGACATATTTGGGTCAATTTTATATGTTTCCAGAGGGAAGTTTGTTAAGAAAAGTATTTCAGGGATGGCACTTATTCGTTTCAGAATGTAGCTTATGAAGTTCTGTGGGTGTTTGTCAAGACAAGTTAGAGTGCTTGTGTGGACCATAAGAGAGATTCTGGGCGTTTGTGTTGAGAGGGGTCATGTTTTGGTCTTTGTGGACGGTTTATTTTTTCTAGGACTCTTGCAAAGTGGGTGTTTGTCCGTGTTTGTGTGCATAACTGTCCAAGATGTGGGTGTTTGTCAAGATGACTTATATGCGGTTTTACAAAGTTGGGTGTTTGTGCTGTTTGCATAAATTAGTAATACCCTTCTTTTTCTATAGAAAATTCTGCAGTTTTTAATGATACTTCACAGCATTAATGGAATCTCTCTTGATCCATCATAAGCAAGATCGCCACGCGCACTTTTCACAGAGGAGAAAGATGATTCCGTCAACTCGTACAAAGACGAAGTGCTGTTATTGAATGTGGGAGGAGAACTACTAATGTATGCTACACGGGACACATTAACTTATATTCCAAACACAGTACTTGCTTCAATTGCTATTTCAAATCCTATAAATTGTTCTAAATTGATCCAACGAGATGAAAATGGACGCATTTTTCTTGATGTATCACCTAATTTGTTTAAACATGCGCTGGAACAACTACGACGATGGAAAAATCAAGCTAATTCGTCGGCTGATCAGGAAATTTTATCGCCTTTATGGCATGTTAAAACCGAATTCGATGAAATGTTTAGTTCACTTGGCTTGGACAATTATACACAAAGTAAGAAAAAATTTTATGTGCAAATTTTCTTCGATGTGGAATCTCTTACAGAACATTAGCTGTCAGATAGTGAAACATGCTCTTTTCTATGTCAATTATATATTTATTTAGGTTTACCTAGCGAATGCATGGTATGCAATATTAGTAATGTTAATACACGTCGTGTGGGTGCAGGCGAAGGTGTACTTTGCGATCGTGATTTAGTGGCTTGAACGCGGTTTGTTGATCGAGCTGGTACTGCTATCGTCCGACAACCACCAACGATCGGTTGTGGTGGGCAGGAAGCCGGTTGGCTATTAGGTACTTTTTCAAAAGAACCATGGACAACAACGCTTAGTTCATTGTGGTATACAGATGAAATGTATATACTTTGTCGAGCTTCGACACCGATTCGTACTACACACTGTGGTGAATTCCTAGTATTTGAATTACGTCCACCGCCGTTTTATCCAGCACGTGTTTGTACTGAAGATTATGATCTTAACTAAACTGAATTACGTTTTACCGTAATTTTTCATCTGACTCATTTCATATGTACTCTTCTCTTTAATGTTTAAATAAAGTGACAAATATGATAAATTGTATCGTAAGATTTTCAAGAGGCTTTAGTTTACAATGAAAGATCAAACACTCTATAACTTAAGTTTAAAGGTAAAAAGGCATTCTGACTATATATTCATAAGATGAGAAGAAAAACGCAGTATCAACATATATATTGATTAGTATGAGAATCTCATACATAGAAACTCTAGAATGGAAATGTGGTCAATATTGTGTTCTTTTTAGATTTCTGTACACTATTAAAGATACTTAATTGTAATTGTAAAGAATAGATAATACACTAAAGTAACATATGAACATTTATCGGTCTCCGATTTAAGTTAGCGTATATGCCAAAACAAAATCTTATGGAAATCCCATAGCAACCCCGTGAACACTTGCATTAGATATCTAATAAATGCGGAAACTTCCAATTTAAATCCGAGAGTTATGTGTACTCTAAAAAGCGAATCATACAAATCAATCATCCTAGACTCTCTGAATATCAAAATTATACTGAAATCTACCATTTAAAATGTTGATTTCTATTGCGGATTGCCAAATCGATAGGATTTGAGACCGAATTAAGCTCAGATTTCAACTATTCTGTCTAACTTAGCTTCAGAAAGTCGTTTTTCCTATAGTTTCGTTTCCTTTTTGTCACTGCACAACTAATAGTATTTCGATGGAAGTGCAGTACACATTCGAATTCTCCATCTCTGAAAACCTCGGAGTATCATCACTATGATCGGAAGATTGAGCTCTATTTGTTCATCAATTAGATCATGAACCAAAATCTAACTTAGTTTTCTTTAATTATCCTTGTCATATGTAAGTCATCCCTCTTGTTTCTTTATGTTTTATATATCAGTTTATAGCTCTTGAAATTCTCTATCGAATGATATATAATAGTTGGAGTTTTTATTGAGTATGATAGGAAAAGTCGTTTACGAAAGCTGCGATGGGTCCATTTTTCCACAGAAAGCAATAGGGAAAAATGACTATTTTTGCAATAATTCAGGAACGGCTGAGCCGACCCCTCTCATCTTCGAACTCGATTGAGATATTGCCAAGACTATGTTGTATAGAAATTTTCATCACAACCTGACTGTGCTGTCTAAAATTATCATGCAAAGAGCCAACTGAACGGATGGACACATTGACTATTCTACAATGTACTCACTTTCTGAGTGCGCAAAACTATGATTCAGTTCAAAACTAATATCAGATTCAGAATCAGCGTTAAAAACTGAGTCGATTAATGTACCTTGTGAATAATTCTGAGCAAAAAAGTTTTTCTCGAAAAATCCCCGCCCCCCCCCCCCCCCCTCAGGGATGGTCTGATGAAAAATCACAATTTTTTTGATAACTCAGCCATTTCTTGACGGATCATTCTCATCTTCGAACTCGACCGAGATATTGTTAAGACTGAACTGTCTAGAAAATTTCATCGCGATTGGACTCTTCTTTCGGAAGTTATCGTGTAAACGGCCGGACATACTGATCGATTCTAGAGTGTACTCACTTTTTGAGTACACAAAAAAGAATTAAAACACATATCTAAAGATACAATTCAAAAGACCATTGAATTTTTTTTTGACCAACTGTCTTACACTCTTTTTAATTATAATTAACTGAAGAAAAAGATTTATCACTATTATTGGCATTAAGGTTTTGTAAAAATGTCGTCTTTCGTCTCTCTTAAATTTTAGTTCAAATATGAACATTTATTTCGAAAGGGCAAGAAAGGGTGTTCTTGTGTGAGTATATAAATAACTATTTCTGCACTCATACTCACACCGATACCCTTAAGTTTCCACGATCGTTTTCAGATTAATTTTTAAATTCAATGCTTAAATTTTTAGTTTATTTTGAATTTATTTTTTTTAATAATTTATTTCTTAGATTATATTTTTACACTTAAAAACTTTAATTTGAAATATTATTTTTTATTTTTATAAAATTTTTATGTTTTTTTTATTGTAAAATTTTCGTATTTTTTTCCTATGTATGACATTTTAAATTTTGCTTATAAGGTTTTCTGATAAATAAATTTTTAATTCAAAAATATTATATGGAAAGAAATATGGGCGAAACCTAAGCTCAAATAGTGCCAATAAAATGCGTTTCACCAGCGAAATTATTTATAATGGATAGCAATAGTGGGCAATTATAAAATCTGGTGAGCAATCATTAAAAAAAGTTATGCGCATTACAGAAGTCGTTGTATACTTGAAGAGAAATTAGTTATAGTCATCATACGTTAACAGATGAATTCCCTATTTTTCCCCGTGTTTCGTAAATCTATTTTTCAATTTCATATATTCGAATCCTGTGAACTATATATATTGTCATCTTATTACTAATGTAGTACGCTTAATGTCTGAAATAAATCGTCCAAACATTTTCAAAACACTGTCATTTACACAATCAATTTTATTTAAATTTTGTATATAATTTACTCACGTTTTCTATTCTACATTGCACGAATCATATTGCAACATATGTTGGGAAAACTTTTAATTTAGATTGATTCAGTTGTTTCTGTACTAAACGAATGATGTTGGTAGAAATAGAAAGATTATTGAACATTTATCCACTCTCATTTGTAGCAAATTTAAATGTATAAGAGATAGAGAGTGTTTTGCCAGTAAATATCAATAAGTTATTATTATTATGGTGATCATTCTTTAACTAGAAGACATTGAAGATCAACCCTTGTAAATCACTCAATTTAATCTCGTGAAGAGCAAATATGTTGACAGAAAACAGTCCTTAAATCTTTAACTGTACACAAATTTTCGTATTTTTTTACAATTGGTAATTGCCCACGCTAAAAAAGAAAAGAATAGCAATAAATTTTCGTTTGGGTGGCAATTGCCCAATTGCTACCCTGCTAGATACGCCATTGGACTACATGGTTGGATCGGGACTTGTTTGAAGCAAATTCTAGATCCACACTCTCACCATGGCTGACAGCATTTGAGTTTTTCATCAAATGCTTAGTGACCTTTATGCTGCGTTACTTGGTTTTTTATCATTCATTTTGTAGAGAACGAACAAAGATAACATACTCTGTATATGACGTTTCTTTCACTTCAGAAAGCAAGCAAACATTTATATCAGAAAATGAAAGAATTTCTTTGTGAACAAGTGACGAAGTAGGAATAGATTGTGACCTTGTTTATTTTAATGTATACACAAATGCGCACTTAACCACAAATAATGAGATATAAAAAGAGCTTCTATTACAATCTATACCTTATCTACTTTGAAGACTACATTGTAGTAGTCTATACTATTCATTATTTAACGTTGATTCACATTCGTGTTGACATTGACAATGAATACAAAAGTCTATGAGAAAAATGGTAGGAGTTAAGAGACTTGTTCAACATCACATATAAAGGGGTATTCCAGAAGTTCTGAAGCGTTTTTAAAATGACCGTTTTCCGTTATAATAAAAGCAAATTCTTTGGAACTTTGGTAGATTGTTGTACGTATAAGCTATTACATAACTACAAAGTTTGAGGTCTATGAGTTGTACTATGGATGAAAAACTGTAACAACACTGAGATGTAACATTTTTAAAATTTTCCATGTCATCTTCGGGATGTCTAACATTTTTCTTATTTTGACTATATCTCGGCTTAGGTAGATGGTAAAATCTTGTACTTTTTTAAAAAGATGTGCCGTAAAAAGCTCTACAAAAATTGTAATAACAAATCTCAGTTGAATGATATCTGTGGTTTCTGCCATACTCAAAATGAAAAGCCTACATGGTAGTACTACTTCTCACCATATTGTGCGTAATTCAAAAAAATTTCAAAGATCTTTTTGCGTTCCAATATGAACTTCATTATACCGCTTCTGTAGAGCTTTCAACGATGCATCTTTCAAAAAAAAATCAAGATTTTATCATTTTATCAAGCTGAGATACGTTCAAAAGAAAAAGGTCTTCCGAACATTTCTTTTGTTACGCACAGTATGGTGAGAAGTAGTACTGTCATGTACTGGGTATCACAAAATTATAGGACATCTTTTATTTTTGAAATTTTTCAACAAAAACAAATAGTTAGGTCGAATGTAAATGATGATTTTGATAGCCCATGAAATTCACTATTCAATACACTATGAACCGAAATTCTCAAAGGAATTTTTATAAGATAGGTTTTCAAAAAACGAGTCCACCTCATTTTCCAAACTGTCGAAAAAATCGACAGAATTATTTTTAAATATAGCCACCTAAAAGGGAGAAAAAATTCTGAATAAAATGTGGGTAAGCTGAGTTTCCCACATTGTTTCATTACAACGTTATCAGCACTACAAAAACTTTAAAAAACTTATTTTTAGATAGATTTTGACATTTTTTCATTAATTGAGTAATTTTTTAAAATTTTTTTAGTGCTGATAATTTTATGGCGGCACAATGTAGGAGGCTCAGCGTACTCTCATTTTGTTCAGAACTTTTCGCCCTTTCTGGTGGCTATATTTAAAAATAATTCTATCGCTTTTTCCGACAAGTTGAAATTGAGGTGGACTCGTTTTTTGAAAACCTCTCTTATAAAAATTCCTTTGAGAATTTCGGTTTATAGTGTATTCAATAGAGAATTTCATGGGCTATCCAAATCACTATTTACGCTCCACCGAACTATTTGTTTTTGTTGAAAAATTTCAAAAAAAAAAGATGTCCAATAATTTTGGGACACCCTGTAGATTTCTCATTTTGTATATGACAGAAACCATTAAAATAAATCAATAGACATTTGTTATTACAGTTTTTGTAGAGTCTTTCACGGCGCATCTTTTTTAGAAAAAAATTCAAAACTTTATCATCTAACTAAGCCAAAATATAGACATTTTGGCAGGCCCAGAATACAGAAAATTTCACAAAATAGTACATGTCAGTCTTGTTACAGTTTCTCACCCATATTATAACATGTAGACC